ATGTGTACAGTCATGATTCCACCCCCCCTCTCCACCCCTCCCCTCCCGTAAGGATAAGGCATGCGACGCTGCGCGTACCACTGTGCAGTCAGGGCTTTTTCCACCAGCGATGCCATCCAGAGCCCAATATGGCTGGTGGGAAATCTGTACTGGTAGTAGGCTGAGGTTTGGCCCATTTGAGATGTTCGGCTTACTGTAACTATCTGTCTGAAGCGCCCCTTGTCCGGTGCACGTCAGAAAGCTCCCATATCCTTACTTTATTTCTGTAGCGACATCCAGTTGAACGGTAAACTCCTGTTCAAGTCTCGTCAGCGACTAATTCTTTTGCCAATGGCTCAGCAGTTATGGCTCCCCCCATACCACTAAATGATGTCACCTGGGATATGTAGTGAACGGGTGCTACTATGCTATACACAATATTGGTCCAGCTGCTGAGAGACGTCCCTTCACAGAAGATATTTTGTTTTTAGAACGATTTGCCGCAGTAAACACAGCTTTCGGGGGGTGCTAATGACCTGAAAATATTTGTAGCAGCGCAACAATGCTATCTCTTTCGATGTCGGCATTCATCTGGGATTGGACTTTTTCTGGTGGGGGATTTGGAGAACGATAGATCTGAAGCAGAACGCGATCCTATCAATTAATGAACGAGCGGCGAAACGGTTTTATACCGACCATTAGCATTGCATTTCATTGCAAAAGGAAGCAATCGGGAGGAACTCGTCAAGCAACGCAATCCACTTTCGCAAGCAACGACCGATTATTTGTGACTTTCCACTAATGCAAACAATGATCAGTTCTTTGGAGATGCGCCGCGCATCTGTGTCAATCCGATATTATTTGAGATGTTTGACGCGCTCGAGTCCAGTCTAGGTTATAGTCCGGCGGAAAGGACGACTTACAAAGTACTAGGGGAGCCAGGGCGCATCGCACGTTGGGGATTCCCAGCAAGGAGACGCATGCGGTCGCGGGAGGTCGTATTTTGCTCGAGGAAACTGTTCTTGATCGCTGATTTTCGCTGTTTCATGCGCGCCACCCACTACGACTGGTAACTCCTATCAGGAGGGGGGGGGGTTAGGATGAGGTAGAGCGTTTGCTTCTCGCTTTGAGGTGGGAGGTCATTTCCGGCTCTGAGATAAGTATTTCAGTGCTCGAGCCAATTTCTTCAAGTTGCTGGAGTTTCTGAGTTTTTCCCGCTTCATGTGTATTATATATACACCCGTCTTTACCCCCTGCAGTTTGTTCCATTTGTTTTTCTGTTTCGATTTCCTACCGCTCACTATCCATAGTCATTAAACAGGAAGTATGAGAGCAAGCTCGATGCTAATATTTTGAGTTGCGACGTGCATTTTACTTCCCTTCAGATTCATGATGACATCAGGTATCTGACATGGCACACACCGTTCACTGAAACGACCTGAGAGGGCCAAGTGATGCGCCAGTGAGGGTTTTTGCTTCACCATGCAACTCCTGTACCAATTACCTGATCGGGTCCGACTTGAAAAGCGATCTGACTTTGATTCCTGAATAACTCCAGCTGCCACTCAGCTACTCTTTGAAAGACAGTGGTTGTGACATTTGCTTTGCTAACAGTAGCAGTCATTCAACCACGAATCAAGGAAAGGATTGGCTGAGCAATTCGTCCAAGGTGGAGGGGATTATTGGGACCCTGTTGGGTGAGACTGGAACCATCCAGTAGATCTGCTGTGTTCGAGCGAGAACCCCACAAAATGAATCACCCACTAGGAGACTCCTTCCCTAGTAGGTAACAGGTAACCAACCACTGGAGCGTCCAGGGACTTTTGTGCTGAACGGGGGATTCTCGCAAATGAGGTGGAGATTTTTGCCCGAGCTTAAAACGGAGCAGCCGCAAATTGGGAGAAAGCGGTTTATCGTGTAGCACTCATAGGGCAGTACTATATGGATGTCTGACATGGTTCGTCTTGGTGGGGGCATTTTGCTACTTCTCCACATCGATGTCCTTGTGGATACTCAAATCCCTGTTGAGCAGGAGCTACGCTCGCACCTGACAAGAGTCTGCAAGTCAAACCAAGGTAAGAGGTGTAGTCAGGAACTAGCAACGAACCTAGTGGAAGTGCGAAGAGCCCTTCCCAAGCCGAAAGGCGCCTAAATTAGCCCGCCTGTGCACGAGGGGTCCTTTAAAGGGTCCCCGGGATTATTAGAGAAGTAAAACATTATGTGAGAAGAAGAGTTTGCAAGTTGTCTCGTTTCAGATGTTCAACCGTCCGATGACCTTTTCCCCACAGCAACCCATGCAGCAACAACAATTCTTCCGATACGATCAGTTTCAACCTGGTGGAGCACCGCAGCAATTCCCTCCAACCAATAATCAATTCCAACAAAATACCGTACAACAGGTAAAAGAACTACAGTATACCTCATACGTAGAAAAAAAAATCAAATTTCATTCGTTTTTAGGCACCACAGTTCGTTCCTCAGCAGTTCATCAGTGACAAGCAACCGCCACCAATTAAGGTACTGCCTAGCCTTCAGTCTAATGAATTTGCGCAACTGTACTGATTACAGATAAACAACGAGAAGTTCCTTAACAGTGAAACCCCACGAATCTTTGACAAGCAGTTCAGGGTGAGTCAGTTACAGCACAGACGACTAGATACTGTAAGACAAATCATCCTAGTCTAAAAAGTCAATCGTTTTTGTCCTTCAGATCCAGACCCTGACGCAAAACGAAATCCTCGCTCAACAGGCCCAACAAGGCGATCCCCGGATTCCAGTTCAACATCGAGTAAGTGATTTATCGATTAATTGCGCTGCTCGAGAAGACTACGATACATCGCGCGTAATGCATAGATCCGCGCTCCACCGCCACCAGAGAGGTTCATTCCTCATCTCGCCGATATCTACGGCCAACCGATGCCGGATCGACCTTATACACCACCGAAGTCTCCCTACAGTATGACTACTAAGGTAGTTATGGTCGCGAATTCAGAATATGCTATGCATTACGCACTGGATCCGAATCATTTTTGCCACCTTATTTACACGTTTTTCGATTTTTTTCTCGAATATTTGATGTTTTCGAGCGCCACTGGGACGGCACTGGGTTCAAGTTAAGAGTGTAGTGCTCCACGCGAACTCACACACATAGCCCGTTTTACATGCTCATTCGCTGAGCGAAGGATGGGAGGGGTTCAAATTTGCAAAACAGTTAGGATTAACGGTCATGGAGACGATATTTCCCTCCTCCCTCAGCCGACTTGCCCAGTATACCCTTTGGAACCTGAAATGAAATCCAACAATTTCCCGAATACAAATGATTTGGATCCATTGTTCACCACGTACACAGGTATAGTACGTTTTGAATCTCTGAGTGTTGGCTTTGGTTGAAAAATCGTCGCCTAAAATCAGTGTAAGCTTGAAATCTTTCGCCATAGCAACGCTTCATCACTTAACAAGACTGGACCCACAGTTGCAGCAGCAGCTCTCATGGGGATCCTACCATGGAGCCGAAAAGTCGTATTTGGTTGATGAGGGAGTAGACGGAACCCCTTCTCCCCCCTCCCCCTTGGCTGGAGGGGCAAGGGAATGAAAACCTGCGTAAGAGTGTGGTAGGTTCAACCACAAATCCGCGTATTTACCCTGTACCGCGGCTGACGAGATGGGTCCTAATGACCATCACTTTCCAATTTACGATAGCACTTTAGCGGGGCGATTCCCATAGAACTTCTACCCCCGGACGCAGATTTAGACAAGAAATTCTTGGTCAGACGAGACATTTGTGCGATTCTTCAAGTCGCTAGCTTTGGCTGATTGGCGAGGGTTGGATTGAATTCAAGGAGACATCTCACTAAGTTTGCTGAAAACATGTCTTCAACGGTAGTTTGACTCTCTGAGCACGAATAGCATATCTGCTTAACCTGAAACGCCTAGGACCGCCAAGCGCTTCAACGGGAAAAGGACAGGGTAGGCGTGTCGTGAGTCAAACCAGCTTAGCGCTAAATTAAGATTTTTCCTTAACTAACTCCAAAAAGAGGTGGAGATGATGTAGTGATGAATGGTCCGCTCTGCACGTGCGCAGTTAAGGGACAAAATACAGAATCGGTTCCCGCCGAGTCTAACCATACCACACTGCATTTTGTTACCAGAATTGTCTGGGAGTATAAGAAAACACTGACTTGTACATCAGCTGACCCTCACACCCCATTGTCTAGGCCACATGGCATCCATTAAGTCCACTACGATTTTGAATCGAGTAGAATGCGTGTCGGATCCCTGTGAAGGGACTGATCAACGGCGGAGACCCTATCCTTACCCTTTTATACTTTCAATCCCGAAAAGGTCATGGGGTAAGAAGTACGGGAAACACATGGCTGAAAATCCTGCCGATTCATTTCTAGAAGCATGTGTTACTATACTTAGGTACAGATCGGCGTCGGCTTAGTACGGGGAGGCCTGGCCAAGTACGATCCTCTTGCACCTCCCACCAATGTGAGTCATCCTTCGGTGCTGCAGAATGTACGGGTTCGAAGCCACCCCTTTGGTTTTCCCTTGTGTTCCTTTCCAAGATATTGCATGCCTTCAACTAATTAGTATTGCGCCTTGTTGTGTAACCCATTAGGCAGCGTTCAGACTTCGCGAAGGCAGTACTCGGTCGCGCGATCGAGCGATCGATGCGATTGAAAGCATGCGCATCGATCGCGCCGGCGGTCACCCAGGCGCTGCTGTCGCGAAGTCTGAACAGTGCCTTACACTTACTCTCACTAACAAGACTGTGTGCATGCTTCCTCTTGTGCCATAGTTGAACGTCCTTGTTTTTACTAGATTGTTTTGTCGTTTCATGGCGCACTCATGCAAGCACAGAAGTCGCCAGCAATTGAAGTAGATCTCTCGTGCTCATTTATCGTTGATATATAGACAGATCGTCGCGATTCGGCGGAGAGGTGCCAGGAGGCGTTGAGTGAGCCCGCCCACAGCTGCTTTTTCTACCAGTTGTGGCTGGTTCGGTAGAAAGTAACCAGTGCTAGAACTCGGTGCGTGTAAACGCCTCCCGACATCGCCCCACCGGATTGTGGCCATATAAACGGCATGTTCTCTGATCAGAGGGAAGGTAAGAGTGTGTTTGCGCGCAATAAACCCTCTTTATAGACGTTGCCACCGGAGGCGTATGGACCAGAAGAAAAGCTGATCGATGGCCATCATCCAAGTTATATTGAAGACACCGCAAAAACGACTCCAGCTGATCAGGTAAGTGATTGGTGGTGAGCCTCACTCTTCAGCCCATTGATTGAATGATCTGATTTCAGTTCAGACGGATGATCCAGCCTCCGCGACCGCCCACGAAACGCATACAGGTGAGTTCATGAGTTCGAGCTACGATCAGGAAAAACGAAAGATCTCTTAGAATCCAAGTGGTGCCCTTAGGCGTTTGAAGGCTCCCGAACCTCCACGTTCTGGTCATGTGCGGCGGCGCCTCGTTCTATGACACTCAGTCCGTCCCAGCGCCTTTCTCTCCTGATCCGTCTTGGAAACGCTGTCAAAACGTCAAGGTGCCGCCAACAAGAACGCCCTATGTGTAGGACGGCTCCGACCCATTGACGAGTCAGCGTGAACGAACAGCGCCCGCTGTCAGTACTCGTTGACAGTACACTGCTGCATTAAGTAAAACTGTGGGCAATTCTCAGAATAAGGATATTTCTGGATCAGTGTCTTCGTTCGTCCAGACTGCCCAAACTCGCTCCGTCCCGTTGGTAATGCGCCCAGGTGAGGCAGTCAAATGAATCACCTCATAAGCTTTCGAGCAGTCTTTCCTCCATAGAAAATGACTCTTAGCAACCAGTATAAGCTAAGAGGGATGATCAAAAAACATATCAGATAAAACTGGGGGCCGGAAACTGAAAGTCACTCGCAAGGGTAAATGCGAGAAGACAATCGAAAATCCGCCGCGCCTAGTGTCCGCTTCGCCGTGCGGTTCGCGACCGCGGATGATAAACTGTGTTCAGTCATACAATGGCGATAATAGGCTATGTTTAATCAAAAATATGCGAACTCTCTACCCAATTTACGTTTTACGTGAAGTCCGTGTTCAATTGGACCGGCTAGCGGAAATTAAGACAACACCGCGGACGCCGCCGCGCGCAACGGTGCGGCAAATTACGATTAGCTTGACATCTCCCTCATGTTAGCAGTCAAAAGGGCGAAAGATAAGGGCACAATCCACGTTGTTTATGTGGGCGGGGCCAGGCCTAACACTACGACTTCTTCGCTGGTGCGCTTCTCTCTACGAAGGAGCGAAGCACCAATAAGAAGGGCCTTGTGATAGCTTCTCCAATAGAACCAGCAGAAAGATGTAGTTGATAACGCCGAAATCAGTCGGTGCGGTATCAGAAGGGGCGGAATGAGCCCGCCTCCAACAGTGTTTGTACCAATGGTGATTGGTTAGTGATCGATTGAGAAAGAAACCAACCAGTAGTGGAAACCCCGAGGTGGGTTTCGAGGCCTCCGCGACTGATTGCGATGTTATCAACCGTGAGTAATCAGAGATAGGCATGATATGATAGTATGTACGTAACGTGCGCCCCTCCCCCCCCCCCTTGCCCTCAGGTGATTGTTCTATAGGAAAATGTCCTTGTTTAGAATCGTCGTGACACCACGTCCACAACCACCTCAACCTGTACAGCGCCCTGTTGTTGTTCAACAGCGACCGGCCCCTGCTGTTGTTCAACAACGGCCTGCTTCTGTCGTTATTCCCAACAAGCCAATACCGAAAGTTACGGTGCCAGTGAGCGGCGCCCAGGTATTCCATTTATCGCTACACATCATCTCTCAATTGAGCGACCAGGTATATTTCAGAAAGCAAACGAGATCTTCTTGGGTTGCTGCAAGTCAATCAACGTTGCAAAGCCTTGCGAACGAATATGCAACTTCGATGTGTTGAATAAGAAGACGGTAAGGGTAGCAATGCAAATTTTCAAGCTATAACCTTTCACTGGAAGTAGGTGGTGCAGTGGCAAATGGCTCGCTTACTAAGCACACCGTCCGGACGGATCGGCTCCCGCTCAGACCAACCGACCCTTCTATCTCCGGAGACGGTAGATTGGTTCCAAATTTGTCCGGGGAAAAACACTGACTTGTACATCGGCTGCTCTCCTCTCGACAACGCCTTCCAGCCACGCGTGAAGCATCCCAAAAGGGATTATGTACACTTAACATCCCCGAAATGCGGCAGAGGTGACGTAACATGGATTATTTCTAGATATTGGAATATTTTGATTGGAAAAACTCTCAACTTGTTTACCAGTTATCTTAAGACGGCAATGTCCCACAAAAGCGCAGCCGCCGTCACATTCAGCCGAACTACACAGCCACACCTATCGCATCTTAGAAGTCTGGAGTATAGTTGGGAAGAGGAACCAGTGCTCATTTTCTGTTGTGTGGGACCCAATGGGGTCGTATGTGGGTGCTGGAAAGAGAGGGTTGTACTTCCAGAAGACAAACATTTCTCCAACCCCTAATTAGAGGCCCCGGAGACTACTATCTCTGGTACTTTATTGGAGGTGTCTACTCCGCCCACCCCGCCCTTCCACAAATTGGGAGGATTGGGAAAATTCTCAGAAAATTCGTGAGAAATGGAAACATTCGTCAAGGTGGTAGCTGGGAAAGTTGGTCGAACCAGTTAATGAGGGAGGGGGTTCTGCAAGATAAATCGCAGCGCAGTTGCAAGATTTCGGAAGGACCACTTGGTCGCGCTTCTGTGCCCTCTTCCTTGACCGAGGCTTAGAGCATACTCGACCAACGTCGCCAGGGGACATCCCTCTGAAAGCGTTGGCGCTGCAACGTCTTTACTCCCGCAAAGTAATGTAACGTCCCGCACCCGGCGCTGGTGTACCCGCGGATCTGTTGGCAAGAAAGATTCCCACGCTCTTTCCGTATTTGTACCCCCTCCGCTCTCCCCCTGCCTGAAAGCGACTTCCCATTTCAGAGGTGAAGGCATAAGATTGGATACCATTCGGTAAATGAAGTCCTAATGAAAAAGGAAGAAACTGCGAGAATTCTACTATTTCAGTTAACTGGCATGTTCCTCGGCACCGATCCATGTCCGCAAGCTCATGGACTCGATCTGATGCAATGTGCTGCTCAATCTCGGGATCATACAGAGTGCTGCATTGAACGAGGAGTGCATACCACCAGTGCCGGCAAAAAATGTCTCGGTTTCTGCAACATGAAGCCAGGGAACAGCTTCCAAGTAAGTTTTCTTTTCCAGCGTCTAACCTTGTTCATTTGTGATGGGGGAACGCATTAGGGGTGGGAACCGGGTTGGCGCGGCGCCAGTTTCCTTACGAACTACTATATCCAAGTCTTATGAACCAAGCCTTCCACTTTTCCTTAACCATTTGGCTATCAACAGTTTCCTGATAGCCAAATGGTTAAGGAAAAGTTCCTGAGTTTCCTGTTTCCTGGCATCACGGTACCTCCTGCCGTCGGGGAAATTGTTACACATTGCGACCCATTCCCCTCAAATTAATACGGACGCCACCTCCCCCCCCCCCTTCCCCATCCTACCTATCACCTTCCTAAATTCTCTTCTCCCCAAATTCCTACCATTCTACTTTTCCAAAAAAATTCGCAGTTTTCCCTAGAAATCCTTGGATATTGGATGGAGCATGGGAGTCTCGCATAAGTGATTGAGGGCAGAAAAAAAAATGGCATGCGGAAACTGCTGCACGATCCAAATGTAAGAGAAGTTCATGGGGCGTACCCAGCATGGACTGGGCGCACTGACCGCTTTACCATTTTACGAAAAATGTCCAATGATAAAATGGCAAAAAGCCGGCTACGAACTCCGGTTGTTCGCGAGTGACCCTCCCACCAGCGGTTTTGCCTTAAATCGAGTTCAAAGAGATCGAGATCTAATCTCATTTTCCTATGGCAAAAAGCCAATAAAACGTTGGTCATCAGTCATTCAATCGAGGCAGGCAGCAGAATAACCAGCTTGCCCGCTTGCGCGCGTTATCTTGCCAAATAAGTTCTGTCATGCTATGAACAGGATCGGTCAGAGTGGATTGAAATGCGCGACTATCGGATACTTACGCGATAAGACAAATGATGGGGAACTCCGATTCGATGCCCTAACTATATGGGAAGATTGGAAGGCGCTTCAACTCCACGCGAGGTTAATTGAGCTTTGTGGTCTGCATTCCGCCGCGATCGCCTTTTTCTAAGGCTGAAAAGGTTGAGGCAGTCTATGACCGCCCAGCCAAACGTCTCTACTACCTTACTGGAGTCCGGGATTCAGATCACCACCAGAGGACTACTCACCACAATACCACCCGCTCTTCGAGACCACCAGGCTGGCAGTAAGACCACTTCGGACTGTTCCTCACTATTGTCACTATTGGAAGGCCACCCCTATATATGATTTTAGCTCCCGCGTTACTGTGACGCGCTCCTGGTTCATTTCCCGGTTACAGACCTGGACCTAAAATGCCTCAAGAGTTCTTCGTGCAAATGTTTGCGATTCACAAGATATCAGAACATCTCTCATTACAGGCGGACGTTTCCATGTTACCATGCTGGAGTGTGCTAAATGACATCAAATCTTGCTTCAGGGATCATATTCAAAGCAGTTAAGAGGGATCTCACTAGGGTTTTCTAGTCGTTTCATGACTAAAATGAAGAGAATATGTTTTATTTTCTCCTAGGTTATGTTTACCAGTAACGATGCAGCCACCTACAGTAATGATTGTGCAAAAGATAGGGCGTGTGACAGGGGCGTGGCTTGGAGCAGGGCAGGTTTCCTACCAGTTGTAGCTGGATCAGAATCGCATCATTGGTGGAAAAAAAACCTCCGTTGGTGCGCTCCAATCCAAGCCGCGTACACACCCTAACGTTTGCGAGGATCACGACTGTAGATGTAGTTCAGGACATTCGAGGTGT